TACCTAGGTTTTGACCCCCGCTAAGGATCTCCAGATTGGCATATCAAAGACAGCCCAATCCGACACCTAGTGCAGTATCATAATCGAGTCTAGGGGTCAGGTGTAACTTTCCAGTTTTACCCATCAATCTCCAAGGTCTAGGGCAATTCTGTAAATCTGGTTCGGTTCAAAGATTCAATTAATCCTACACTGCATGTACCTCGGGTCTCACCCTGGTGGCAGAGACAGGCCACCCCAACCGACTTAGCGGCACATCAGTGTCAGCCTTATCAGGATAGGTCTCCCCAGACCGACCCACTAGCTGTGAACATTCTAAACCAACACAAGTCTCATAAGTGTCTGATTTTAAGGTTATTACACAGAAACACACCACAGGAACATGAAACAAATATGTACTTTATTCATTTACAATAAATTCGTAATGTACATCATTCTGATTGGAGCTAAGGGCATACAACTATCTAACACAATCTTGATCACTTCTGCTAGAAACAGGAAATCGAACTGATAGTAATGGTGGTGGCAGGAAGGAGGCGGCAAGGAGAAATCAGCTCAGTCTCACTGGGTGCTCTGTTCTCTCTCTGAATTTCGAATGTGATTGATCTTCTATAACTGCCGCCCCCTTCTCCATTTATAACCTTAAATGGATCAGCTCCTAATCCCATTATGAGATGCTGATCCAAATCATATTTGGATCTGAATTCCCTTTAAGAGATAAGGATAGATCCTTATCTTATCTGCAGATTAGATCAGCCATCTCCTATTCTGATTAGGAGGTTTCCAGATCTGAATCTGTATTCAGATTTGGACTCTCTGAGTGGATAGGGTAAGATCCTATCCTATTTGCTAATCTAATCCCAGATTCGCCCCTTCTTTAACTGATCAAATCAGCCCATTTCGAAATGGGCTTTAAGCCCATTAATAGTATGTGCTCACTTAGCCTTCCAAAATTGCTGTCCAGTTGGGCTTTCTTGTATGGCGTGGGATCCAAGCATTGATCTATACATCAGCCACAAGGGTTCGGCCCAGCCTTTGTTACAAGGCCTAGCCGAATTCACTGAAAAGCCCAGTGAACCCCTTGAGCCCATCACATGGACTCTATGGGCCAAACACTTACATTAAGTGGTCCTTGGGCCAAGCCACCTTGTAACACCMAGGGACTGTGGGCAGATGCAAGATTAGCCCATCAGGCATTACCCTCAATGGTCTTACACTTAACCTCTCAGCCCATAATGATCATACACTACCCGACAAGAGAGGACTTTTCCCTCGGCTGTAAAGAACAGTGCTGCACTCTCTGCTCACATGGATCCCGGGAATTAAAACCTTTGCAAACAATTTGAAACCGTAACATATATTTACTTTTATATCTCATATAAAATATATTTTGCAAAACAAATCTCAACGATTGAAATCGGTTGCCGGCAGTCTTGGTTTCCATCAGAGAGAGTGCATCCCCAATCATTACCTTTGTCCGACAAAAGGGCTGATCCCCTCACTATGATCACCCACTCAGATGAATTCTCGGATTATCCCAACATACCCAGGTTTTGATCCCCTCTTAGGTTCTCACTGATTGTCATATCAAAGACAGCCCAATCTGACACCTAGTGCAATATCATAATCGAGTCTAGGTGTTAGGTGTAACTTTCCAGTTTTGCCCACTAGTCTCCAAGGTCCAGAGAAATACTGGAAATCTGGTCCGGTTCAAGGTTTCAAGTGATCTAACACTGCATGTGGTTTGGGTCTCACCTAGACAACTGAGACAGGCCACCCAAACACTTGGCAGCACACCAGTGTCAGCCTTAGCAGGATAAATCTCCCCAGACTTATCCAACGGCTGTGAAAATTCTAAGCTAACACGAGTCTCATCAAGTGTCCAGTTTAAGGGTATTACACAGAAACACACCACAATAACAAGAATTAAATATGTACTTTATTCATTTACAATAAATGTCATAAGTACATCAAACTGAATGGAGCTAAGGGCATACACTGTTTAACAACTCCCACTTGCACTTAGGTCCAATCTGGTATAAGCCAGAGTCCCAGACTTTCCACGTGTTTCTCAAACACTTTCTGTGTTTGTGGCTTAGTCCATGGGTCTGCCATATTCTCCATTGATGCTATCTCTGATCAATCTCCCGTAGATCCAGTGTTGTCACACAATAGTGGAATGGGAGATGTGCGGAATTCCAAATTCTAGAATGAACATCTTCATTCATAAGGTAGCCTCACTTACGACAATGTGATCGGCTTGGGTTGTGGAGTCTGCCGTGGACCCCTGTTTGCTGCTTTTCTAGCAAACAACACATGATCCTATCGTGAAAACATACCCAGATGTAGACTTTCTATCATCTGGATCYGACTGGAAATCGGCATCAGTATACCCCTGGATCTGTAGTGAGCTACCATCGAATACCAAACAAATCTCTTTTGTCCTTCGAAGGTACTTCAGTAAATTTTTCACAGCGGTCCAGTGCTCCTGCCCTGGGTTGGCTTGTAATCTGCTTACCACACTCACTGCCTGAGCAATGTCAGGACGAATGCACAACATGACATACATGATGCTCTCTACGGCTGAGGCATAGGGAAC